CAGAGCTAAGATCCTCTCTCACTCTCATCTCCTCCCCAACGACACTGGCTGTACTCCATGGGTTACAGGGCCACTTGGGGATTACTGCATTCCCTCGATAAGATTTTTACCTCTTTCAACAGAGACCTGCTTCTAATGGCATCAACGAGACAGAGTATCAAGGAATCTGGCATCATTGTGCAACTATCCTTCCTTCTCTAAACACTGGCAGGATATTTAACAGCTCATTCTTGCTATAATTATTTCAACTTGAAGATAACTTGGATATTTTAATCAGTGACTGCCATTTGAAGGTGTGCTCTTCTTGAGGCACTCTGCAAAGATTTACATATAGGGAACGCTCAGAACTTCAGTCAGCCACAACTGAAAGTCATTAAGCTCCACATCAAGTGTCAAAAGGTGTCAGGATGTTAGACAGGAATTTATCAAGCAGCACGAACCACTGCGACCTCATGCCATCTTTCAGTCCACACTGGGTACCCTGCTACTTGGCATATGAGACTGCAGGAGCGCGGAATAAAGCTCAATCTTGCATCTCTGGTAAATAGAAATGACTAGCTCTACCTACAAGAGAATATTCTCAAGGTTTCGTGCTCCTCTGCCACAAGGCATGGTTTTTCTGGTGACAAAGCAAGGAGAGAGCACTGGGCTTTCCTTCCGTTCAGCTTTGCTTCAGGCAAGTAGAGACAACACAGTAGCAGGCATACCCCTAAAGATACTGGCATTTTTATACTAGGATTCCTTTAAATGGGCTTCCAATTTCAAATGTTTTTAAGAAAAATGCCAGCATAAACAAGACTGTAGATGAGTTCCTGACTTGTTTCCTTCTCCTTGCAACCTACACGCAAGTCTTCCATTTTGTACACACGCTTTGTTAGGTGAGGTCAGGGGGAAGCAACGATTTGGGAAGTTTCAGCAAAAAAACACCTTTTGCAACAGTCCTTGGCTAATCACTCACTATTTTTTCCAGGACCTTTGCCCCATCTCACTGAACTCATTCTGTTTGCTGTTTCTTTACATACTCGCTCGGCTTATGGCTTCATTCACTGCTCACTGCATGCGTGACCTGCATTTGTCACTGAATAGAAAATTAACGATTTATGTCTTTCTGCTTATCATGGCAGCTTTGTGCTCTGTAGAAGCTCACAAAAGGATTCCAGTATATTTAACTCCCTTCCACCCATACACTTTACAATCTGGTACATAATTTAAGTTTTCCATATTGGTTATTCTCACTGGCATTGAATATCATGGTACCCCGATGTCACTCCAATTCGGTGACTGACAGAAAAATTTGTCCTTCATGTTTTGCTGGCAAAATACACTCTGGTCTTGCAGCACTAAAGAAATTCTTAGAGCTCACTGAAACTCTTTCTATGATCTTGCATTACAGTACTCTGAAGTTCAGCTAGTCCTTCTTGGACATTACCACATCCACCTGAATACAAGAATTTTCGGTTTTGGTTTCAAGAGCCAGTACAGTGGTTTTGTGTCAGGCTATTAAAATTTTTAATGTCAGGCTGGAAGTACAGAAAGGTAAGTATTTCTGTTTTTTTCAGAAATCCTTCTGCTTAGAATTACCCTTCTGTACAAAAAAAAAAAAAAAAAAAACCAAAACAAAACAAACAAGCAAAACAAAACCAAAATAACCAAAACACAGAATAAAAAGCTCTGCTTCATCTTCACAGGCAACATTTGAAAGGTAACCATCACAAAGACAGTTGTACTTGCACAAGTAGGAGTAAACAAGATTAAAAGAAGTAGGGAAGAGCACGTGTTTTAGAAGCAGAACATGAACATTTTCCACTGGCATAGGGGAACAGAATTTAAGCAAGACTCTTGATGTTTACCATCTTAATAACGCTAATTCAAGCAGGAATCAGTAGTGTCTCTTAATGGTTTCTGCAGAGCAAGCAGAAACATTGTAAAAATACTGTAACTAGGAAAAGGACTACATGAAAGTAAATCCAGCTCTCAGTAGATGGGAGGAGAAGAAATCAAGTGACATCCCTGTCTTTAAATCTTATTTAACTCAGCAGAGTAGATGCAGTGATGGGAGTCGGGTTAAACCTTCAGTACCCACATTTCAATATTTTGTGCATTGTTAAAAATTAAGAGCCAAAACAAATATTTAAATTCCTGAAAACATTCTCCACCAGATTATAAATATTTTTATGAGGTTAGATCAAGAGTTTAAACTAATTGGTAAGGGTTCCTTTGAGGTCTTTACATTCGTTACTTCAATGAAAAACAACCTCCAGGGTAGAGCATACCTTTATGTACAACCTAAATAAAAAAACACCTCACTGAGTGCTCAGTAATGGGGGGAGGCAGGAAGAACAGATGCAGGAATTTCAGATATTTGTTAATTGCTCTTTATTCTATCCTAACAAAAAAATATTTTCCTACCGCAAAATGTTTATTTAAGGTCACTATTTTAAATAAACCAGACTGAGTGGCATAGGGAAAACTCAAGTCCAAAGGTTTTTCTTTTTACACGGTGCACTGACCCCTACTCTCATTATGGGCCATAAACATTTATGAGAGTTCGTCATCAGCTTGCTGAGACAACACATTCTATCTAGTTTCCTAGAGCCACGTATCAATAATCTTCAAGGAACTTTCCTGAATCTAGCACCTTCCCCTTCACCCCACATCCCAAAAGGTTTCTTGTGCATGTTTGTCTGTTAAGTAGCTAGCTTTTTAATAGATGTAAGAAAACAACAGGACCATGAAATGTATTTTCTTATGTAAGGATTAAAATCAGAGCAAACTCATAGTAAGAGAAGGAAATGCTAGAGAGCTGAAGAAATACAACTGACGTTAATTACTTTACTACCGATTCATCTTAGTTGGGTACATTTCCTGAAATAAGCATTTACCTGTAATAGATCAGTAGTAAACACTTCCCTTACATTTCCCTTTTGTTCTTACACTCCTCTACCACTGGTTTTAAAGCCATCAGTTGTTTCTGCATTCATAAATATCCCCATCACTCTCTATTTAACAAAAAATAAGATGACATTCTCAAATCTAATCTTTGCTAAGAGAAATGCATTTGACGTGCTAAAATAAAAATCCCCTTTTCTATAAGGAGGGTTTTAACACATTAGATTCCCCTTCTCTCCCTCCAACCCCCAAACTAATCCCTACCAGCTGCACATGGCTAAGTTCACCTCAGCTAGCTAATGTGCACTAGTATTTTGCATGTGGTTTAAGTTGCATTTTCAGCTTGAACAACCAACTACCATGTGTTAGAAAAAAAAAAAACAAAACAGAACTATTTCTCATAGTATCATTATGATACATGCAACTGGCATTTGCCCAGACTACACACTGGGGAGCTGGGGAACACTCCCTTCCTGGTACTGTCCAATCTTACAGGAGCCACAGGCAAGTCTGAGGATGGAGACACTCTGATCACCTCCTTCACAGGGTCCAGTAGAGGAAAAAGAAGAACAAAGCCACGTCTCACACAACTAATCTATAGAGGGACAGTAGAAGGAAGTGAAGTTTTGTGATACTCTCCTCTGCTTGGCTCTATTAAGGATCCCCTCCCCCCAACACCTCGCTGCCATGAGGTCTAACTCTCAGTTATTAGAGAGCTGTGCATCTTTCTATCATGGAAGTTAAGTTGTGAATAGTCTGTATTGCTGCATGGAGCTGTAGTATGTTCCTAGTTATTAAAAAAACCTCAGGACAGACAAGCAGAGTTGAGTATTCGAACAATAAAAGGATTTCTTAAGATATGAACTGCTTCTGAATGGGCCTATTTTTTAAATAGCAGTTTTAAATTTAAGGGAGTATTAATCACATATTTCAGCGCTCTCACATTAAGCATTTACTGTGCCTAGACATCCACATTTACGTGGTGGTTCTCATGGAAGAAGAGTTACTTAACCTAAAATTGTAGTTCACAACCCACAAGTGTAATTCTTACCAAGACAGCAAAGACAGCAGAAGCACCAAGCACAGCCAAAGCAAACCCCAAGATTACTGTAAGTACAGCTCACATGAGCACCAAACACATCCGTCCCAGGGCAGAAATGATTCATTTTCTCTGTACTCACTTTTGAAATAGTTTGGGAAAAGTTCTCTCAGTAACACAACTACCTCCCTATCACTTTCATCTGTAGTCATAACGAACCTCAGTAAAACCTTGCTGCTAACAGGAAGCACCCCTCTGCAGTTCTTTCCCTTTCCCTCATCACTATTCAATCTTTGAGTGTAGTTTTAGCATTTCTCAGATACTATGTATACGCTTCATTAGATCACTGATTGAGTCACTGCAATGCATTTCCTACTTGCATTCATCATTCCCTCTTCTTTCAGCCCTGGATCTACTTCATGTCCCTCCTTGTTCCTTCTTGTGAATGGTGGGTCTACTGTTCCATGACAGAAGTAACAACACAAGCACACATTAACACCAACAAATCCTGTGTTATAAGAACCTGAATTTCTACAGATGCTTTGACCTGGGATTTAAAAAAAATAAATCATCCCCTTCCAAAAGAGCAGAGTGAGGGAGAACACATAAATAGAATACTACCACTGAAAGAGCTGAAGTTGAAAAAGTTACACAAAATAATCTCCATAACTCTGGGAGATCATTTCTCTTGTTCTTACTGTAGTAATTACCAATTCAGAAATGAAGGGATTTTCTTCCTAGCATGCACAATACTTCAAAGACCAGGGAAGCATATTTCTTTTACTATTTTTGACTCTAAAATAGCAGATACATGCATCTAGAAAATGCTGCATTGATCCAGTTCCATTTACACAGCACTAGTGGTGTAATAAATCCCCTATAAGATGCAATTTCTAAGCATTATATGTATTACGAGTGTCACTATATGCATAAAGAACTACAGAAAAAGCTATGCTATAACTCAAGTTTATACCAGCACTGTTGCAGAACTGTGTACACAGCTATAACAATAGCCTTTTCTTTCTTCTTCTTATTCAAGTGTTTTGGGTTTTTTTTTGTTGGCACATCTTACCTGAAAGCAGATACACAGAGCTGAAATTCTTCTCCAGTTTGCCCAGAAGCACAGTAAGAAAGCAGTCAGATGAGAGAGAGGTCACATCTTTAGAGCTTTGGTCATACACCACCACTTCCTGCTTGCAGTCAATTTCAATCTGAAACACAAGCAATTCAGAATAAGATAGGAAGGAGGAAGATGATTAAAAGCACCACATTATCACCTCCATCAGGGTTCCCACATACTTGGTATGCAGCAGTTCAGATGCACAGATTTCTTACGTAGCTGTACACAAAACAGTTTTTATTTTATACTTAATATGCCTGATCAGATTTCGTTCCTTTGAGAGTTTGTAAATTTATTATTTGCTCCAAGTTGAAGCACGTGCTGCAAATTTCTACCATTAGGTAATTTTATGACACTTGTAAAATGCTTTACTTTCAGCTAGGTTGGTTGGTGTGTTTTAAAACAAAGTCTTTTAAAAAAAGGCCTTACCTCAGTTTCTGCTTCTGGGGTTTTTGTGTATAAATAGCAGAGACCTTAAACTGCCTAAAGCCACAAACATTTTAGCCATCTATACAGCTTTATGTATAAAATATGCTTTAAATAATAATCATCATCATCATCTTCGGTTTTTAACATGTCAAAGCAAGAATGTAATAGATTATTTTTCTACCCAAAACATCTGAAACAAGTACCAATGGATAAAAAAAAAAAAAAAGGCAGAGACCCCACACATGGATACACATTCAGTTTAAACAGCTTAGCTATTTTCCTTTCACTGATAACACTATTTAAGAAAAAAAAAAAAAAAACAAACAAAAAAACCCCAAAACAAACAACCAAAACCCACCAAACTACTCACAGGAAAGGCATTTTAAACAGCAAGTAGGAGCCAGGATTGACAGAGCTACAGTTTCTTTGCAAACTGTATGACCACTTGCTAAGCAATCCCTACCACCATGAACTCCAATGAATCCTTCAAAGTTTAGGAGAATGTTTCCTGCCCTAATTGCATAAATTTTAGGGACTATGCTTTACAAGACATCCAAAAACTCTGAGAGCATTCTTTCTGAGTAATTTCTAAATCCCTCCCCATTACTCTGTCAGTTAGGGGACAGCAGGCTACAAAGAATCCCAGAGGTAAACCTATTAGTAACCAATAGCTTCTTAGGCCAGGTAAGAGCTCAGTAAAACTCAGTCCCCTAGTTTTATATTTTTAAAAGAAAATACCTAAATAAAAATTATTACAAGTTGCTTTCCAGGCACTCCCTTAAACAAATACAAGGAATAAGAGGAAAATGACCCCTACCTTGTGTTTTGCTGAATGCTGAATGAGCTCTGTAATCAAAACTTTGTCCTGCTGCAGCCTCCGCTTCATAAGCTTGGAGCAGTTGATGTTGATGGCATCCAAGATGTGGGACGTATTGTATTCCACAAAGGGGCGGCTATCAATCAGCAGTAATTTTTCTGTACCACTCTCCAGCAAAGCCACCAACTTCTCGGCGACAATGAGTTGAGTCCTGATCATCTCATCGGCCATGACAACAATAAGGCCTCTTTCACCACCTCCCTCTCTAATTTGCTGCAATGATGTAATGGCTGTGTACTCAAAGGCTTAGCCACACCATTGTACTAGAAGTGTATGAGGTCATGCTGGTAGTGACTGGCAAAAGAAAAGTTAAACCCATTTTCAGAAAGAGCTCTTCAACTGAATGTCTCCTCCTGCTTCCAGTTGATGTGCCGTTACAAAGGGTTCATTCCACAAAGCAGCCCCTCACATCTGATTCATCGGGAGATGACTATGGAGTAGCCATTTCACAATTCAAACAAAAGATGCTTTCTGGCTGCTGCTGCATTACATCATTCTTTACCTTTGCTCCCACCCGTCAGCTTTACACCGGACTAAGAGCCTGTAAGAAGGGGAAGATAAAAAAAAAAAACAACAAAAAAAACCCCACCACAACAAAACAAAACAACAACAACAAAAACAAACAAACAAACAAAAACAACACAAACCAGATGAGGCCATGAAAGTTCACAGAACAACAGAACAAAATGTTCAACTCTGAGGCTAACTGCACAGTGGTCTATACCACACAGTAAAGGCACTTCTCAGAAGTTCCCCTCTGTGCTGTATATGCCAAACACCTAGAGAAAGCATTTGCAACTACAGTCTCTGAATCTATTCCAACAATCCTGTCTGGACAATTATCTTGTATTTCAGGCAACATACCCTGTCTTAATTGCAGACTTTTGTTGCCACTAGTTCTGCCTCTTCACAAGACTTTGTTAGAATATAATTAAGAGATACTGCCCTAAATCATGTTATTCCTTTCAATAGCAAAACTAATTAAGTGCATTTCAGCACTTCATCACTTAGTAAGAAGTTTAAAAATGTATCTTAACTCATTTTACAAGTTTAATGCCTTGGAAAGTATTTCACAAACCAGCACTGCAAGTTGGGGAACTTACACTTAAAAAAGAAAGGACAAAACTTACATCCATCTCTCTCTTTTAAGAACACGGTTGAAGGGAAACCGGAAGAACAAGCTGCTACCTCAGGACACAAACATTTTATTTGAATTCATCACCAGACATGGAACAGAGGCCTCATGAATACACTACTGAAAGGTAAAGCAGTGAGCACTGCCTCTGGCCCTTCTGGAGCAAGTGGGACAGTTACTTGAGGTGCATTACACCTTTCATTCATGCTAAACAATACCTGAAACTTTTGTAAAATTAGATTGTGACAGCCTCCGAACCACATCACCTGAAACGACAGCAGCAGCAGAGCAGTAAAAACACCTGTCAGGCTTCACCACATATTTGTATTACTGCCTCGCAGTTGTCCTCAGACTTTCCAGAGTCTCCCAAAATACACTTTGATGGAACAAGTCCCTGTAGGAACACTCAAAAAGGAGCCACCATGGGGCTTTGTCCATAAGGGATTTAGCTGTGTTTTAGCACACAGTGTCACAGCCATAGATGCAACAGAAAACACGAATCAGCTTGCTTTGCTCCCACAGTTCAAAACTTGGTTTCTTAGTGCAATCATGGGCATTTACTGAGACAGATGTCTACATAAGGCTGAAAACAACCACTCTGGAGGAAACACAAGCCACATGTTCAGCTGCCGCAGTTATCAACTCCAGCAAGAGGGGACAGCTGAGGGTGGTGACTTCTTCAGTCAAGGTGGCTGAGCTCACAGGGTAGAACCTGTACATGAAAGGACAAGCCTGAGAAGAGTTCCTCACTTCCTTAGTAAGGCAGACTGTTTGGAAATGAGCAATCTGGGCTCAAATTAGCACAGGGTACAACTGGCTCAGCAAGAAACCACGTTTCTCCAGTTTGAGTGTCTCACACCATCGCATTCCCTTTTCCTGTTTGGGGAAGCGATTTTAGACCAGCAAAACTATGCAACACCTCTTGCACAAGGCAAAACGTGCCTTCAGACGACTCTTACGTCAGTTCTGGACCATGCCACCCAGCCTGTGACACAAGCAGACTTCCTACCTTTGCCTTCTGCTGGCTGGGGCAAAGCAAAGCAACACAACTGTCACAACACTGAAGAGGCCAGATGAAGAAAATAAAAATCTAATTGATCAACACTCTTGAAGCAGCAAAACATTTGTAAACAGAAGCAAGTCATGAGGATACATTTTCCTGGATTCTTAATGCACATACAAGTACATATAAAATCTTAGTCCCCATATATATATATTTTTTAATTATTTTACATCCTCAGTTTAAGAGGTTCAGCTGGAAAACTTACATTTTACTTATAGTGTTGGCTTGCTGCTTCAGTTTGAAATGTTTATTATTTATCCTAATTGCAAGAGAAGTTGTGAATTCAAACTAATTTATAAACAGTTTATTAAAGTCCTGTTACAGCAACAAGTCAGTTGTATTTAGCAATGGGAAATCCCAGGTCACCTACTGTTTTACTCATTAGATATATTATACAAATCTACAGATACAAAATTTTAAATAAATTCAATTCTGAAAAAAATACAAACTTCACTTCAACAACTCCAATAAGAAAACTGAAAGAATCTTATTTTGTGAGAGTTTCATGTAGCAATACAAGAAAAATACCAGGTTGACAAAATGAGATTCTTTTTATTTGCCCTGACTCTAGTGCTATAGAGCCAGTGCTTTTAAGTTTGTCCAGACAAATGGAAGCATATACCAGTGAAATGCATTTTGCTCTAAACTTCAAAATTATTGGAAAAATTACTGTACCAAGCCTTAATTAAACCTATTAAAGAAGACCCCTATCTTTGCAGCCCTATCTTTGAGGTGTGCTCCCCCTCAAAGAGCAGTCATTACATACTGGCCTCAGGAAGGTATCAAAAGACTATGCCATTATGCAAGGAGGGGAAAAAGTGAAACTTGATAGTTGTGTCCGTTTTTTTTTCAGAGAGAAAAAAGTATTCTGCATTTTTTTTTTATTTCTTTTAACATGTGCTGTCACGAAACTTGATTCTCCTTTATTCATATCAAAAGCTGCCAGATACCAAACCCACTGAGCTCAGTGAAAACTTTTCCACTGGCTCTAGTGGGAATTGGCTCTAGCTCCTTTGTGAGCTAGACAGTTTGTTCGTGAACTAGACAGTTTGTTTTGATGGGTAAATTGCTGACTTAAAGTCCAAGTAATAACAGGAAAATAAAGCAGCTGAGAAATTACAGAACTCTAAAACAGAGGCTGTTAAAAATACATAGTTTTTAATTTGTAACTTTCAGTTTGGGTATATTTCTTATCTTCTAAATGCTTACTGCTCACCGCCTCAGCCTTCACTTTCATATGATAGAAGTTTGTTTCAGAAGACCCTTGAAAAGTACTCAAGCCAATTACATGTGGTGACTGGGTAAACAGCATATGAAGAACATAAGGCAAGTGGGCTACCGGTCAAGAATCCTTTTAAATAACACTCTTATCTTAATGTATAGCCATGGGCTAAGTTTCTGAAAGCATTCTGCCCATGGCTTGGAAGTAATAAACTTAACAGTAATGTCACCTCAAGTTACTGTGATGGAAATCCTGTTTTGACAGGAACAGCTCCACTGGGCAGGGAAGGAACAACATTTTTATCAGTTTCAGGGTTTTGTTTTAATTCCCTCTGTTTCTGGTACTATCAGATGTTGGGACTCTTCCTTGAGACCTACCTAAACAAGAGAAACTGGCAGCCTCCTCCTTTAGGTAAGCACTAGAGCTCTCCTCCCCTTCCTGGTGGCTGCTCTCATCATTCAGCTACTATGTGGTGTTCAAATATCTGCTTAATTCCTAATCATAGTTTATAAAAAGCTAAAATTCAATTTCTTGACTGTTCTCTTTCTGCTGTGCCACTTGTGACTTAGATAGCAATGGCATGTATTGACATCACAGTGTCTCATTAAATGATGCAATATAATGCTTTGCCCTAAGTAGGCCATTATGTTGCTGATCTTCAAGCTAGGAAACCATCTTAGTCATGGGATGTTCTATACTGAAATCAGGATTATGGAAAAGTGATCCATAATCAAGCTATGAGAATACTGCATGCAGTCACTCATATACACACTGGTAATACTGTATGGCTTCTTCCTCCTTGCAGACAGACTGCAACATCCTGCATTGCTTGTTACCTCTTCTTTTAAAGAAGAAAATTAAACTTTTAACTCACTGTAAAACTAAAAAGACCTGTTCCACACTTGCCCACTATCTTTACAGTTTCCCTATATTGTTTAAAGAACCAAACCAACAAAACTGCTACTATCTTCTACACAAATGACAGTCTATCTCTAATATGTATGTGTAAATGCTGTCACAGAACTACAGGATCTCTCTCCACCTCAGGAATTCCTGTCCCCATCCCAAATGTCTCAGATGGAGCAAAGCAGGCAACCATGTAACTGGAAACCTGGCACTTAAGTTCTGTGCTTGACTCTTCAGTCAAAATAACTCACAATTTGTACGCACTCCTAATTTCAACTTCTACCACTCCCAGCAATTCCCTTAGCAGGACACTTGTTTGAGATATCTCAGGCTTTGGCTCATATGATAGCAACTATTTTTAAAGAGGCAGATATAGTGAGAATATATTTTAAAAACTCTCAGAACGACGCTCTAATTCTGCCTCGGTTAAGGAACTATCAAAGAGCTTCTAGAAGGCTTGCTACAACCTCTGAAAGACTTCTACCTCATGTAAGATAACCTTGAAGTTGAACCTTGGTGTCATAAACGCTCAGCAATTTTATTCCCAACGTCACTAATGCTTGCTTTGTCAGGTGCCTACAGCAATACTCCCACATACGTCACTGCTGCATGGCAAAACATCAACAAAATAACTTTACAGCATCTGAACATTAGAAGGTCTTGAAGGGCAGCTTTTGCATACTCAGCATGAGACATCTGAAAGAGCTGATTTTTTAAAAGCATGTATTTTATTACTTTCTAAAGGCAAACACACACACGTGGGAAAAACATTATTCTCCCCTGCAGTCAAATTCCCTTTCATTTTCCTCAGCACCAGCATAAAAAAGAACCCCAAAAGCTGAATCAAAACACACAGGTAGGAGATCCTGAACGGCAGGACACATGCCACCGCGGGCACATCAGCTGTTTTCAAGGGAGTATTTGGCTTCAGTGTTTCTGAGCTGGGAGCTGCCAGTGGTTCAAAAGCTGGTGCCAATACCACCAGCACCAGTCCCTACCACCACAGCCACATGTGATACTCAACAAACAAGCCTACACAAACTCCTGCCTCACAGAAGAACTCCTGATCTAGGGATCACAGGGTGAATTCTCACTCTCGCAAGATGTTTTTTGCCCCCAACATCTATGACAGCCACAGCATTCCCCCACCAGCCTCAGAAAGATGGAAAGAAAAGTTGTTCTGGACAGATGCTTGCCAATGCTTGCTCAATTTACTACACATCAGTAGCCAGAAACACAAAGTGTCTATGGAGCACAAGGGAAATAAGATTTCTAAGTGAAAGTGAGGAATAGCTGTACTTCTGAATTCAGCAAGCAAGCCAATAAATTCCAGAGACTGACAACTGTGTAATAAAGTGTAAAGTCTGGGAAAAAAACGTAACCGAGGTTGCAAGAAGCCTATGTTTTGCCTGCCATTGTGCAGACCACACAGGAGTGAGATTACAAATGCTTGTAATTTAAAAGAAGAGCTCTGTTAACAAGGGCTCATGTTCCTCAACTGAGGGGAATGACGGTGTCTTTTGGCTTTTCAGAAGTGTCATCATCTCATAAGCACATCATTTCCTCATGCTGGCTGGGCAGTGGAAGAACACATTTTCCCCCACCCTCCTGAGCACACTCCATTTTGATGCAAGAGTGGAGAGAAGCAAGGAAGTCACTCAAATAGAAACACAGAGATTTTTTTTTTTTTTTTTTAATGTCACTTATGTCCTGTGTTCATAAAAGAGAAGCAGTTTTAAAAATTTCACCCTGCTATCCTTTCCTTATCTGTACAATCAGAACGGCTACTCCCTCCTCTCCTACTTCCAGTGTATCTGTATTTTAGATCTATACATGCAGCCAAAATGGAAAGTGTTAATTTTCTACTCCTTGTAGAAACAGCAGCCACATGCATGTCAGATTACATGCTGTACATTAATGACAAAGGCAAGTATAATCCATTGGAAAAAAACTGTTTCAGTTGTCCCTCATCCTACTTGACTAATTACTCAGTTTTGATGAGTATTTCTAAAGAAAAGTCACCCCACTTCATTGTGCTCACCAATCTGAAAACTGAGACATGGAGACAAGAGTCAGAAAGGAAACCAACTTCCCATGAATAAGCTGCATAAAAGACTTCCACTTTTAAAGTTGCTCTATTTCTACACCTACTGCTCAGCAACGTTTTTACCCCCAGCACTCTAAGATAGCTGGACTAAGCAAGATGAATGGATCTTCCATTTAGATAACAGTAAGATACTGCTTTTCATACAAATAAAGGTGTTTGAAATAATATAATGTGTTCTACTACCAAAACAAAACCAAAAAACATGCCATCAAAACACCACATTTTGCTGACCTACTCAACATAGCCCTCAAATATGTGCAACATTCTTGCAAACATCATCCATGCATCACCACTAACTCTAAGCAATAAACCAGATTATCATCACTTGCATTTACCAAGAAGCCAATCTCTTTGACATTCACTGTGGAACAATAAATATTTATTAAGTGTATATATATATATACAGCAGGGAAACCTGACTGATAGAATGTGAGCTCACAGCAAGTGCTAGAACATGCTGGTGATGTGTTACATCACTCTATTCAATAGCTCAGAGACTCATATGGGGACTCCCTTCTCTACCCATACAAGCAAGAAGCTCTTTCCATTTCAAAATACTTTTTCATTGCAAGTTCATAGCATATAGTTCTGTGACACCCAGAATGAAAGCTTACCTAATCCATTCCAAATAAATACTATAATACATAACATTTTTATTTTCCTATTATCTGGGCACTAGGCAACCAGGAAAAGTGTCAACAGATCTTTAGAAGATAATTCTCCCTGTATGACTTCCAAGTCAAAGCAACTGAAAATTCTGGAGTACTTTTATAAGAATTCATTATGGTTTCATGACAAAAGCCATTACTCACCTACATTTAAGTCAAAATCTAAACAGGCTGAACAGGACAGAGGGTGGTCCACATACAAAGGCCAGCAGAGAGAAATACCTAAACACAGGAAAAAATGAAATCATTATTACAAGACAAAAAAATAAAAACAAAAACAACAAAAAACAGAAAAAGGATTTTGCGTTTTCAGTGCAATCATTTGCTGTAAAGCTCTCCAAATACATGAAAACCTATAGTTGCGTAGAGATTTATAAATGCTAGTATTCATTTACATGGAAAGGGTCTGAAATAGAAAGTTATCTTACACTGATTTTCTAAAAGAAAAGGAAAAAAACCCACAGTAAATCTCTCTACTATCACTAAAAAGAAAATGAAGATACTTAAAAAAACAAACAAAACAAACAAATACAAACAAACAAAAAACCCAGCAGCCTTCCAAACAATTTGACACATATCCCTGTTAGAAAACTAATCTGTAACTAGCATTCACGGGGGATGCTTTTGCATAAATTCAAGCAAATCCACAAATTCTTGTTCAGTATTTATTAATATAGGAGATTGCCATAAGTAAGTCTGATTACAGCTATATTTTACATGAACAAAGACTAACAAAACAGAGCATCTTGGGTGATTAACACCATCTCCCCACACACTAAAAAGGACAACACTGGAAACTGGTAACACTGGCGTCACCGAATATTACGTACAGTCATACCCATACAACTTCTATACAAAGCACCTGCTGTTCCTGCACGAACAAATTAAATTATAACCTTTACATGAGGAAGTAAAAATAAACACATTAGTGTCAATTCCAAACTGTTTCCTGGGCAGCTAAAAACAAGATTAAAATCATTGCTACCAAGAGATGACAGCTCTGCTTAATTACTGTAACATAAATGATCACAATAAATTACTGCCAAGCACTGCCTTATGATGAAATCCAGGAGTGGCTCCGAGCCACGTCGTAAATGATATGACAACCATGAAGAGCCACCGCAGCAGAGGGCTGAGCACATGACAACAGTCGGTGAACAGATTCAAAACCCACATCATCCCGCAAGGAAAGGAGCTACAAGAACCACCTCTCTGTCTTAAGGCAACTGCTCTAAAAACCTTGCAAGCAACAACCATGAAACATGGGGCTAGAACCCTTCGGGCAGATAACTGAAGAGTTTGCTACCTAGAACGTGCTCTGCTCACTGGGGCAGACACCTTGACCGGGACCCACGTGTTTGTCGCTGGCAGGTCCCAGGCTGGAGATCCTCTCAGCAGGGCACAGAGGCGGATGAGAAGATCTCTCGAAGATTGTACCAGTTGTATTTCTACCCCTGCCTGCTCTGGCTGGCAGATACCATACGAGCCCCAGGAAAAGACTCTACTGATATCCCCTGCTCCTTCCCCTAGGTCCAGCAGCAGAAGTCCAGCAGAATGCAATGGAGAATTAAGAGAAAGCTCATCCTACTCATCATATTTGTCGCTATCCGTTTTTCTAATCTCACTCCTGGAAATTAAAACTAACCTAGTGCTTAACACCAATTAGGCTCTGTCTAGAGACAAGACCCTATGATCAGAGACCACCTTGTGACAGTCCAAGGAAACAAAGTACTGGGACAAAAAGCATCTCCCTTTTTAGTTCCTTAGTGCTCCGTGTGCAGTTTCTGAAGTCTCTCTGAAAACTGCAAGGTAGTCTTCTCATTCACTAGTACCTGCCATCCATGCCTCTCTAAAGACCTTACAAATAAACTAGCTACCACCTCAGAAAACAATATACTGTTTTTCTCACTTTAATAAATAGAAGTAAATCAGATGTTTAAACCAGCCACCAAGAGCCCTCATTTCACCATTGGGCACAAATAATTCTGCTGAAGAGCAGATGAGAAACAAAGCATATTCTTAATTTCAACACATTTTACCGGAAGGAGGTGTCACATTTTTAGAACAGGATCCACTCATGATCGAAGACTGAGCTGCTGCAAGTTCAGCCATAAGCATTAAGCACATTTGGAAATTCCCTGGCAATGCTGTTAAAGGAACAGACATTTCCTGTAATTTTCGGAAACATTTTATATCTCCCCTCCTCCTTTTTAGCCTTGGTGGTAAGAAGCGGGGAGGGAGGGAGAGAGGATACCATATTACCATTAAGTGAAATATGAATGAGCCACCCAAGTTTAAAGTGGAAACTTCAGCTATTTATGCTTAGGAGAAAGTTTTAAAAAGAAAAAGTCTTTCATCATTAAGAGGCCAGGATTTTTCTGCTGACTTCAGGAAAATAAATATACATCCTTTCAATTAGAGAGAATTACAAAAGGATATAAACTTGCCTTTTTACTTACTTCTGGCAAATAAGAAGTCCTTCAGGCCTTATTTAAATACATTTTTCTATTTTCCAGCATTAGAGATGGAAGCCTCTTTTTCTTGTCTCTTGCTCAGGGCCTTCCCTAAACTGCAGCTAAATGAATCCAATCAGTCAGGTCACGGGGAATGTTCCTCCCACTGCTACAGAGTTGTGGTGCATCAAACAAGCTAGAAGCCAGAGAGAAACTGAATAGTCAGGCATGACAGCATCTTTCCAAGGACCTCAGTACCTATCTCTCCTTTCCTAAGAGTTTAATCCTGTCCTTTCCTAAAAATCTAATCTTGTATGAAGTATCTGGCATAAAATTCATAAAATTTACAATAGGTTATAAAATTATTTACCTATGTAATCCAAGTCTGAAGAGATCTAACCCAAAGCCACAGCACATAACATACGAATTCACAAACAAAATTAAAACCAGAGAACAGCTGCCTGTCCTTACAAACCCATCACAAGCACTATTTTGGCTGTACACCAAAAGGTGAAGATTCGTCATTTAATTAGGACAACTGGCAAAGTCAACATCTGCCAGTCTCTACCAGCAACTGTATTTCAGCTTTCGATTCAGAGACACAAAGTACAAAAAGGAAAAACCTTAGAGGGTTGAACTACTTCATAAATCCTCAAGCTCTTGAAATTCCAGCATATCCTTACTCTTTGTAGAAGACTGCTTTACAGCAGCCCTTTCTGTGACACCAAGGTTTCCATCTACTACACAATCCATACATCCCAAATCAACTGACCATGTTCTACAACTCTGCAGACCAGTATGAACTGTGTCTTTTTTATTTTACATGGTCATCTTTTTGCTGAGAAACAGATTAAAAGGAGTGCTCTGAAGAATAGTAATAAATAAACATCAAGCACAGCAGTTGTAATAGGCTGTGCTAGAGCAGTTGTAATAGTCCGTGCTAGTTCTTTAAAAGGCTTCCCATGAAAAAAAATAAGATGGGACCTCAGAGTCTTCAGATAATGGTTAGCCTTTAAGTTTAAGGCCTTCTTCCTGGTGAGAGACTTCAAGGAGGGGATGTTCAAATAACATGGGCCTGCAAAGAACAAGCCAAAAATCAGGGGGGGAAAAAAAAAAAAAAAAGCAACTCTGATCTGCTTTGTGGTCACTGTATGATGAAAACAGAAGGTGGATCTGAAGCTTTCATACAAGAACCAGGATGGATTAAAGGCAGAGGATAATGATGGTAATTTTATTAGGGAAATAAATCAGAATAGCTTCTGGGCAAGGCTGGGGTGAATTTCTTGCAACAGACTTTTTAATGATTCTTCTCTTAAATTAAATTGAATGACTAAATATCACAGTGAGTCAATCTCCTTTAAGAACAAGAGACGTGTGAACTGCTTTCACAGTATGGTATACTGTGGGTTAAAATGTTCCGGTCTTTCACCCATTTGAGGAAATGACACCAGTTCTCCCGGAAGGCAACATGCACATTCAACCCCTTCACATCAGGGCATGAGAAAGTTTGGAAGGAATTTCTTTTTTTTTTTTTTTTTTTTTTTTTTTTTAAACTGTCAACATTAATACTTTGTTTCTTCCTGCTTGTGTCTGAAAATACAGTGCTGCACTGCACTGCATGTATGTCCTGTCAGCTATACAGAGAAACATCTAGAATGTAAAAAAAAAAAAAAAAAAACAAAAACACCTTAATAAGTGTTAATTAAATCTGTTGTCAAACTTATTTAAAAAACCCTTCTGCATGGTCAAAACAAAATTAATACTGTGAGCAGTGTATGCTACATAGTGATAAAAGCACACAGAAGCATCTTCAGAAGCGATGCTGGGCCCAATAAAACATCAACATTACATGTATGTAAGCTCAGTTCTACTCAGTAAAACAGTTAAATTTTATTGGGTTTCTCCTTAAATGGCTTTTATATGGCAAGGAAAAAGAATAGATGGTGGAAAATAATGAGTCCACAAACACAGTACAGCCTGACTATCTCAAGGTGGGGGTAGAAAAGGAAACACAGAGGTGTACTGGTATACAGCAATGGCTCCCAATTAATGTGGTGGAATAATTCAAGTTGCTAGGTGTACCCAGAAATTAAACAGTTGCAGTAATCCTGTTAATAGGTCTCCCATTCTGGGATGTACAGACTATTAAGGAGTTCAGGCTATGACATGGAGTGATGGCTGAATTGCAGATGAGGCTCAGGAAATAAATTAACTCCTAGATCCAGACAACTGGGACCCAAACCTCTCACCATGGTGAGATAGCTCTTGATAGCTCACACACTGGGAACAGAACATATTCTCATACCTAATTTGTACCCAAAAAGGTAATTCTGATGGCCTGCTTATTAAAATTAAAATATGAAAACAATTAAATTGACAAGATGGTATGAACAGGGCCTCAGTTCAGGAACAAAAGCAGAACTCACTCACTGAGCTCACTAAGCTACGTTCTGGGTAACATGCCCTGGTACGTCTTCCCCAAAGGATCCCAAGTGTTTCTTTGAATTCGAATCATGTTATACAAGACCTGCAGTGGTGCCAAAGCCACATTTACTAGCACGGTAACTACACGGTTGAAAAGAGAAGCCATATGTGTCTTTACAACGGAAGGAGAGAGCAGAGGGTGGCTTACGTTTCCCAGCTGTGCCTCTTACATCACTATAAACACTACCATTTAAGTAGAGGAAGAGTGACATAACTGCAAGATACATTAAGCCCCCTTAAGAACAACTGGCAAAATGTGACTGCCATTACATCTAGTTTGCAAGAATTAAAAGGGACCAGGATTTTTTTTAATTTTGAAGAGCAAAAGCACACAATGCAGGATTGAGGGAGCAAATAATGTTGTTATTATCTGATACCCACCTCAGTCAAAGATCAGGGTCAACAAAAAACGCTTTGTAGCAACCTCACTGGGCTTCTAACATGATTTTGGATAGCAAAGAGAAACAAAATATATTCCCTTAAATTACATTTGTATTATCCTGTTTGAAGTGTATGTATGTATGCATATGCACATGTATGCACAGCTCTTTACAAATTCATAAACAAGAGTTTATAATTCTCCAGAATTTGTAGAGATGCTCTGTTTTACACAGTCCTTTAAAAAGCAACCAAAAAGGTACTGACTGTTGTCAAAGTAATCCCAAGATAGGAGAGTTCAATACAATTCTGCAATAACTGAAGGAATATACTGACAGAATGTATCAACTTCAGGTGCATGCAGTGCGAACTAAAATGCTTGGAAGGAAGTATATTACCTGCAAACTGCAAGATCCTTGTGTTTCTTAGGTATTCAGCAATGGAAGAAGCACCAGTGATTTGTCAATGATCGTGGATACATCAATAAATAATACTGATTAGTTTTATAAAAACTGATTATACACAAATTCATGTTGATACCACTGGCAAGTGCTCTGATCATTTTCAGATAGACTTCCAGTCTGCATGTAAGCAGCCCATAGGAACGAGTTAGGTTTTGATACACAATCCTGAGGTTTTTACCTCCAGGAAACTGATCCTGAAGGATAAAGGTATATGATGGGTGGTCCTTAATCACTTCCTTTATATGAAGATTGAGGTCAGAATGGAAAAAGAGCCAAGGAAGGAAGTCTGCAGCACCCCTCGAACACACACACACACCTTCCTGCATAGCTCCTGCAACAGTTTAGAAGGTGAACTTGTAGTTTGAATTAAGTAGTCAGAGGTTGAGATAGAAATAAACAGCTTGCACAAGCAACACACTGTGCTATTAAGTTTTTACAAGTGACTTAAAAATTAGGTCAGTCTAATTTGTGGCTGATACTTTGTTCTTTCACTACTATGAACTCACAATGATGTCAGCCTCATGTTCAAACATGCCACATTTAGCAGTGTACAGGCTTCCTGAGAGACTCTCTCAGCCTTCCTTTGTGCAGAAGGCTTCTGCCAGATTCTTAGCTCATACTTCACTGACTCAGGCATGCCACTCCAGTTTCAAGGGAGTTACACTGGCTTCCCGTCAAATACTGCACAGTTTGGGGTTTTTTTTCCCCTCTTTTTTTTTTTTTTTAAACTTTACTGAGTAAAAGTTTAATAACATGTGGTCATATTCAGGTTACCATTTTAGGCCTCATCTTCATTAGACAATGTCCAGAAGAAAACTACCCATTAAGAGGTGTCGGAAACAGGTGCTTTTAACTAATTCAACCCATGTTTTAATACTTAAAGGGGGCTTATAAGAAAGATGAAGAGAGACTTTTTATCAGGGCCTATAGTGACAGGACAAGGGGCAACAGTTTTAAACTGAAAGAGGGTAGGTTTAGACTGCACATGAGGAAGAATTTTTTTACAGTGAGGGTGGTGAGGCGCTGGCCCAGGGTGCCCAGAGCAGCTGTGGCTGCCCCCTCCCTGGAAGGGTTCAAGGCCAGGTTGGACGGGGCTGGGAGCCCCCTGGGCTGGGGGAAGGGGGCCCTGCCCGGGGCAGGGGGGGTGGAGCTAGGTGATTTTTAAAGGTCCCTTCCAACCCAAACCATTCTATGGTATTTCCCCATCCTTACCTGATCTAAAGAAATCCTAGATGTCCCTGTAGTCTACCCAAATTCAGCTAACTCTTGAGGGTGCAAAGCATCCCACTGAATTGGGACTTCATGCAGAAATGATTCTCATGCAGCCACCCCCAAAAAACAAAGCACACTCACATACAGAAGCTAATCTGTCTACATAACTTTTGATGTGCACGGAAGATATCTTTTAATTATTTCTGACACAAAACTTACTGCAGGGTTTTTAGGCACGTTAGCAAAGACAACAGCTTTTGAAGCACAAGGATATTTTGTCTAGCTACAAAACTTCAACAGACCCTTGGACCCTGTAGTAAGCTTTCGCATGCACCTTTAACTAGACCCAAGTGAAGCAGCTGTTTGAACCACCATGGCTGCTTGTTCTGTCTCAATGACAAAATTAAACTGAAAAAAGATAAAGGAGAGATTTTAAAAGCAGTTATTAGTCCATTCCACTTTTCACCTGTCAGCAGGAGACCCACTCTGAGGTGCCACCCTAACTCTCCCCCACTGTTTTTCCCCTCATTCTCTCAGATAAACCAAATCAGCCTTCTGCATGGCTGCTCTCTTAATCTGAGGGCACAAAAAAATCTCTGGTGGAAGTAAAGCCACCTAAAAATACAACAGTAGGTAAAAAAAAAAAAAACAGGTCACT